CGGTTGGGAAGGAGAGGCAGTCTGCACTGAACCGGGGAGCGGGGCGGAAGGTGGCCAAGGGCAGTGTTCCTCACGGAGGAGCTGAGCGCTCGTTTTGTGTTTTCTTCAGTGGCTGAAGCAGGAGAAAAGGGTCCTAACAAACAGGTACTAATGGCAATTGCTGTGCCGGGCAACGTGTTTGTAGTGAAGATAAAAACACGCTCCCTGTGTGAGGGTGTGGGGACACCAGACTCCTCCATCTGACTCCGTCGCTCAGGTAACCATGCACTGAATCCCGCGCAGGAACGGCGAAAAGCGAGTGGGAGGGAGAGGAGACCTGAACACAGGAGGAGGTTAAGCACTTGGCTCGTTTCGGTTAGGCACGTGGGGGCTGAAAGGGACCGACGCTGACCTCTAAAATACACAGCTGTGAAAGGAAAGAACTTTTTAAGGAAAGAAGGTGGTAGAACAAGAGGGGTGGGTGTAGGACTGGCCACGGGGAAGCAAAGTTTGGGCATCAGAAGAGGTTTCTGACTGTGTGTCTCGAGCTTTGTTCGAGGGTTGTGCTGAGAAGCCCCCCTACTTCCTCTCCCCCCCGTGGAGCGCCTCGCAGCCCGCTCGGCAGAGGTCAGTGCAGAGGGGACTGTTGGCTCCTCGGCTCTGAGCGGGACCTTCACCCTCCGTACCTTGCTGTGCCCCCGGGGCTTCGCCAGAGGGACCCGGGCAGTTCTGGTGGGAAACCGGAGCGGATAAAGGGAAGTAGCGCAGCATGCAGCTCGGGGGGGACTGCAGCTAACCGCGAGGCCTTTCTGAGCCAGAAATGTTTATTGATTGCCCGGGTTGTAGCGGTGTCAGCGATAATGACAGGCCATGTCCTTCTGGAGCTTCCTCGCTCTGTGCTCCCTCCCCCGTACGTGCTCTGGGACTGTCGAACGCTGTGTCCCCCTCGCGCTCGGCAAACCTGGGCGCCGCACAGAGGATCAAAGTGAGTTTCTGCTCCCTGGGTCTTCCGTGGCTCAACCGCAAACCCTTTCGGTTCCCAGTGACCTGCTGCAGTGATCTTTGCCGGGGTGTTTGCACATCTCTCTGCCACTACCAAAAGCCCTCTCCTAAAAACAGAGTCTGAAGCAATGGAACCGGTGAGCGATTGTAAAGTGCTGTGAAGTATTTCCCTGTTCTCACTTGGGCTCAGGAATGAGGTTCTGGCACTGCTTTCTGCTGCCCTCAGAGAAAACCCAACTGGCTTTGAGGAACTCGGGGCTCCCCGGGTCAAGAAGGACAAGGATCTGCTGGAGAGGGTCCAGCAAAGGGCTATGGAGATGCTGAGGGGACTGGAGCATCTCTCTGCTGAGGAAAGGCTGAGGGACGTGGGGCTTTTGAATCTGGAGGAGAGAAGACTGAGGGGGATCTTATCAACGCTGATCAGTCCTTAACGGGAGGGTGCCGGGGGGATGGGAACAGTCTGTTTCCAGTGGTGCCCAGTGACAGGACAAGAGGGAACGGGCACAAACTGGAGCATCGGGAGTTCCATCTGGACCTGAGGAGGGCCTTCTCTGCCGTGAGGGCGGCAGAGCTGTGGCACAGGCTGCCCAGAGAGGTGGGGGGGTCTCCCCCTCTGGAGCCATCCCAAACCCGCCTGGACGCCGTCCTGTGCCACTGCTGGAGGTGCCCCTGCTCTGGCGGGGGGTGGCACTGGGGGAGCTCCAGAGGGCCCTTCCGACTCCCACCAGTCTGGGATGCTGGGATTCTGTCACTGGTTCCCCGTGCTTCTGACACGGACCGGGTCAGAGCAGCCCACGTGCTCCGGTGCATATGGGCTTGCTGCCCACGCGGGAGGACGCCCGCCCAGCAGTGAGCACAGTGACAGGGATGCAAAAGAGCCCAGAATCCCGCTCGGGAGTGTGCTGTGACGGTGGTGACACACCAGAGGGCATGGTGTCCCGCAGGAGCTGGAGCTGCTGTCCCTAACACGGCAGAGCTGGGGGCAGGCAGCGCCGCGGTCCTGCTGGGCACTGCTCTCCAGCGCTGCGCTGCAGAAGTGCCACAGCCTCTTGTGGGGCTCAGTGATGGTGGCGTCGCTCCTGGGAGGTGTCCCCTGCTCCTGGCATGGAGGTGCCCCGTGGGGCAGCGCCGGGAGGAGGTGGACAGACTGTACACGGGCAGGAAGGACGGACAAGAGAGTGAGAAGGTCTTTGCAGAGGAGTGCTGTGTTCTGTCTTTTCCTACCTGAGGGTGTGGGGCTCTCGCCAAGGTTTCATACTGCCTTCACAAGTGAGAGAGCAGGAACTGGCACAGGGAGAAGGCTCTCAGGGAAGGGTTTGGGAGCACAGGATTTAACGTGGAGATGAGATGGAAAGACGCCAGACAAAGGATACAGTTAGGAGCTTTTGTTTGCCTGCTGGCACAGCTGGGTGTTGGTGTGCGCCGGCGGGACACGCACGCTGGGGCAGAAGGATCTGTTTTTCTTCTCAGTACCTCTGGTGGGAACAGCGGGACTGGCGTTTGTGTCTTGAGTGCTTGGCCAGGAGGAGCCCCTGGGAGCCTGTACCCTGCTCTGTCCTCGCAGGGCGAAGTTTTGGGTGTCGCGGTGCTGCCCGCAGCTGCTGGCCATGCATGGTGGCAGGGTTGCTCTGTCCCTTCCAGGCAGTTACTGCATCTCGGGCTGCATTTCGTTCCCCTTTGCCATCTGCCTTTCTGAGGGCTTTTAGCAACGGCGTTCCCTTCCCCTGGGTCGTCCCTCTTCCCTTCTGCCAGTGGCCGCTGTGAGGTCTGCTTCCCTTCGTAGCTCTGTGCCCAGCGGGGTGGTGGTACCACCCGAGGTCAGAAGGACATTCTGCTCCGTGCGTGGTCTCCTGGCCGGTGCGGGAAGGGACAGCTCTGCCTTCTGGAGCTGTCGGTGAAGAAGGCATGCACCTTCTGGAAGAGGGAACAAGTGGTCCCCACACAGGGTTGCGTACGGCAGGCGGGAGCTGGGAGCCAGCCCTGCCACCTGTCCTAGTGTGGGGACATCTTTTCTGGAAGTAGGTCGATGTTACTAGTTGAGCCAAGCAAACCTGTTTGGAAATGGCCATTGCTGGTCTCCTGACGATCTGGCCAGTCCATTGCAGTTACTGGTAGAGGAGAGACCCCCGAGCACCCTGCCGATTTTGTCATCCATCTGTCTGGAGGACTTTCTTCTCCAGGTGTGAGGTGGTGACGGGTTTCCAAACCTTCCTGGTTGTGCCAGGTTCCCAGATTGGCAGGGCTGTGCGACAGCGGTGCTGTGTGAGGTGTTGCGGTGTCCTTGCACAGTGGATGGTCCTCTCTATGAAACAGTTCCTGAACCAGCCAAAGGCCCTGGTTTCATTGCTGATTTCGGG